GCCAAGAAAAAACCTTTAAAAAAATTTTTGCCAGAGGCACATGTATGAGAAAGAGGGCAAGAAAGTGAGAGAGTAAAAAAGCACCCCCTGTGGCAGATATTTTTTAAGCCGCATGGTTTGAGATTTGAACCAAATGGTCAGTCATGTGGAATCCACAAAAATAAATAAATAAATAAATAAATAACTGAAATATATAAAATAGAATATATATGAAATAAATATACATATAAAATAAATATGTATGTGTATATATATGTATATTGCATAGCAATAACAGTGTTTTTAAAACTATATCCAAAGGAAAGACTTTAGGTTGTTGTCTCAGAAGTAGGAGATTATGATTATGCCACAGTATTTTTGAATACTTATAATATAAATTTTACTTGAAGGGATGGAAAAATAAATTTCATGAGACAAACTGAGAAATCAATTTCCAATTATCTCATTTTAAAAAATTAATTTAATTTTACCTGTTCATTCATTTATTTTAATTTGACCAGAGAGAGAGAGAAATCAAGAAAGCAAACCACCAGGTCTGGGACTTAAACTGCAGTCGGGCCATTTGGGAGTGTCCAGAGCCTTAACCACCACATCACCTGCTGGTTCCCAATGAACTCATTTTTTAATAAGCTGAAAAACCTCATGAAAACAAATAGTCTCCTTGTGGGACTTTCTTCTTCTTACCTCTGGTAACCTGTGTTATCAGTCTGAAGAACTTAAGATCAAATGTGCTTTGAAAAATAAAAACTCTGAAGCAGACTTTGAAATAAGCAGCAAAAGCAAGAATGACAGAGAAACAGAGGTATCTTTTTAAAGGTAAAAACCTTTCCTATGTGTATAAAGATGACAAACCCAATACCTTGATGCAGTCAATTAGCCAAACCAAGGCTGCCACAATGTGAGGCCATGTATGAGGAGCCCCTACTGTATACATGGAGCTTTTGGATAACGCAAAAGGATACCTATGAAAAATAAGAAACAATAATTTAATACATTAAGTTAGTAAAAATAGTGGCTACATTAAGCAAGAAGATACATTTTAAAGATTCTTCATATGTACCCACAGTCTTTATTTATTTAGATGGAAGATATTTGTTGAGTTTTTGTCCCAAGTTTTCTATTCTTCAATGATTTTATATACTCTTTGGTTTCTTCTCTCCATGTTCCTTTGTATATATCTCTCCTACACTGTAGAATTTGATTTACAGCCAGTGTTGGACTTCTTTCCTAAGAGATCTTTTGTTTTCTCAAATTCAATGTATTCCCAATAAATATTTAGATACCCTGCTTGTTCCTCATGTTTACTTTCCTCTTTTTAGACTTCACCGAACTCCATTCTGTTGTTTTTCTTCTATAAATCTGTAGTGTCCAGCTTATCCTTTCTATTCTCTGTCACTTTAGCAGTTCAGGGCTGTATGCTCTATCATCTTATGATAATCTAATGTGAATTGTATTTTGGGGGCTCCTGTTCAATTTATTCTATACATGAATTGTATTTTGGGGGCTCCTGTTCAATTTCTATTCTCACTGTAAACAGTGATCATCTTAAATACATGTCATTTCTCTAACTCAAACTCCATCTTAATACATGTCATTTCTCTAGCTCAAACTCTTTATAAATTTATTGAGTTTGATCTTCTGTGTTCCAGCAATCTCTTAAGACTAATGACAAAAATAACATACATACCCAAGATCTTTAAAGATCCTTGGAACTTCTTCTTCAAACTTTGTGTCAGGAAGTTCATATGAAGGACACAGAAAGCCATAGAGAAAAGTGAAGATCTTTAGGAAGTCTTTAACAGATGGAGCTTGAAGAGATTTCATGGAAACACTATATGCATAACCATTTTCTGTAAGAAACTACAATAATTTTTATGAAATATTAAACATTTTATAATAGTAAAAGTGGGAAGTACCTAATAGAATGTTGACAAGTTAGGCTAATCAAATTATAAAATACCTCACAGAGTTGTCGAATACACTGCTGAATGAAGGCTTTGTCATTAAGTGGTCTTGGGTCTTTGATTTTTTCAGAAGTGGAAAATATACCAAATTGACTATTCCGGGATCCATGTCCACTAGTTCTAGAAACATATTTTTAAAAAGTCAGTCAAGTCTACTTTATTCTGTAGTCAAGTGATTATTTCAAAGTGATTTTATATTTGAACATTAATATCCAACATTAAAGTTTAATTTTGTTTAACTAAACAAGTTATTTTATTTAAAAAAATAAGCAAATAGAGCAAATAAGGGAGAGTACAAGATTATAGCTGTTGTAGATTCTTTAGATATAAAATGAGGCATGAATAAAAATATACCTCCTGTGCTTTGCATTAGCAACACATACACCATCCTCTAAGAAAATGCATTTCAAGTCCTTGAGATCTTCTGCACTAACTGTTCTCTAAGTCTTCCACTATTCTATTTACCCTTTCACTATTACTTCCTTACTCTCAGCTCCTTCATTTGCCACTGCTTTTTGTAGGAAAATGCCTTTGAGATATGTTAAAGTATGTTGTGCAGATTTTTTCTCATCAACATTTTTGTGTTTTGCACTAGCTATCATATGTATTTGATTGTTAATTACCACAAATACATATGTTGTTACTTTTTAGTCATAAAAGGCTGGGGCATATATGCTTCATCCCAATCTTCTTCCCCCAAACAAAACCTTATTTGTTTAAATAACTTTATAATTGTTCTTTTTGCCTACGTTGGTAGCCCAATATAGCTAACCTTTGTAGCTTATTAAATAGACTAAGCAATAATTTCCTTTATTGGATAGATGCTATAAAGTTAAACTACAATAAATACTACCAAACTTTATTATCGAAGTTTCATTTTTTTTTCTACCTGATGCTACAAATTTTTTTCTGCTCAGGCTCTAGGAGTTCTTTAGTTTGAACCCTCTTATTCCACTACTGTGATTAATTTAGCTAATTTTTTTTTTCCTGAGAATTTGCTCATCTAAGAACCACTTTTTTACACACTGTTAATATTTAACCTTTTATAATATTTTCTTTTCATAAAATAGGTATATAGAGTCAACTCTTATTCTATACAAAACCACACTAATAGATATTTTTAAAAATTTCTCAGCCAATCTAAACACTGTATCATTCAATTTATAGTTAAGGAGTATAAGATGTAGAGCCAACAGAATATTGTGGTTTCAAATTCTGTCTCCACTACGAGTTGCGTGACCCTGGATAAATTACTCAACCTCTCCATGTTTCCATATCCTTATGTATAAAAATGAAGACAATAGTATCTCCTCATAGGGCAGCTCTTTTTTTTTTTTTTTTGGGGTTTTGCTATAGGGGGTGGGCC